GCAGAGGAGTTCATTACTCAAAAGATATTTATCAAGGTCCTACTATGTACAAGGGACTATTCAAGGTGCTTGAAATACATCAGTGAATAAAACAAAGTTTCCTATCCTCAAGGAGCTTACATTTTAGTAGGGGTGAGAAAAACAATAAACATCATAAATCAGTAAACCATAAATTATACAGCATGAAATCCAGCAACAACAGGCTTTAGAAAAAGCGGCCAGGGTAAGGGGGATTTGTGTGCAGGAGGCTTGGGTGTTGAATAGGGTGGCGGGTGTAGGCTTTGCGGATAGATGGCATTGGAGCAAGTCTTGAAGTTGGCAAGGGAGTTGGCTGCGTGGATATTTGGGGGAAAACGTTCCAGGCAGAGGAAAGAGCCAGGCAGAAGCCCAAGGAGGGAGCATGCCCAGTGTGTTTAGACTGTCCAATGATTCTCCCAACTTCTTTCTTTTTCCTTCACTCCATAAAATGCATAGTTCTCTCCTGTGCTAAAAAAGAAAAAAAAGAAAAAGAAAAGGAACCCTCTTGCTGCTTCCACATTCTAGCTAGTACTCCATCTTTTTCATCCTTTCGTGATAGTTTCTGAAAGATATGTCCTGCTTCTATTTTCTTACCATTCACTCTCTCTTTAATCCGTTGTATCTTTCTATGACCACCATTCCATGGAAGCTGCTCCCTTAGAGGTCACCCATGACCAGTAGCCACCAAAATCCATGGCCTGCCTCGGTTTACACCTCTCTGATATTTTCTCTGTGGGCCCCTCAGTCTTGGAACACTCTTCTTGACTTTTATCACCCAGAATGATTCTAGTTTTCTGCCCCACCCCTCCAATTTCTAGCCATTAATACTTTGTTTCCTTTGTGAATTCTTCTTTCTTCCACCCTTGTGCTTCTTCTCTTTGTGTATGTTCTCTTGAGGAATCACATCTTTGGGACTTCAGTGACATGTATGTAGGTGATGCCCACATATAGCCAGTCTTCATTTCCTAGTCCCAGGTCAGCCGTTCCAATTGTCTGACACACACCTCCAACTGAAGATGTCCAGAAATGAGCACATAGCCTCCTCTCCTGAACTAATTGCTTGACTAAAAATGATATAACAAGTCATCCAGGCCCACAGACTGGAAACCTTACAGCCCTTCTTCATCTCCCACCACTCCTTGCACCACTACACCCCACAGACAGTTGCCGTGGCAGATTCTTTGGCTGACCGTTCAACAGTCATTCCTCACTTCTTCCCCAGTTAAGAGAAAACTGATTATTCAGGAACTTGCCCCTCAGGAAAGTGACCCCCGCTTCAGATCAGTAGCAAATCCTGACCATTCTAAAGCGTCATCTAATTTCTCTTGCTGGCAGTTCAGGAGTGGATATGTGACCGTCTGTTCAGTAAGGTGTGAAGAGAACCATGCTTTCTTTGAAAAATAAGCACACAGGAAGAGGCATCCTCTTCCTCTACCGGACATTGTCATACCTGTATGTGATGCCTGGGGCTGTGGCAGCATCTTGTGACCATGATAGGAACCAGCCTGAGAATTAGGCAATGAAGGACACCGAAGATGCAGTGAAGAAAGACGAAGGAACCTGGGTTGTTGATGATGTCTTTGACCCATCAGTTAATTAATCCTGGAACCTGGAATTAAATCTAGGTACTTCTAGATTTCTTATGTGACCTAATATCCTCATGGATTAAGCCACTGAATGGGGGTTTTCAATTTCTTACAGCCAAAAACCATCCTGTCCTTTCTTTACTTCCCACACACAGGGCTATCTTCTTTTCACCCTCCTCCCCACGCCCCCACCAATTGCCTGCCTGGAAAACTCTCACTTGAAGACAAAGATTAATTGTCATCTTCTCTATGACAGGGAGGACTGAAATGTCATTGGATCTTGTATTTATTTCCACCTAATGCCCCAGTTGACTACAGGATCCTTGGGGGAACGTTTTTTATATTTCTACTGCAGATGTTTGTGGACTAAATTAATGAATAGATGGGAAAGATTATTTTATATCTTGGTTCAGTTTTGGGCTCCCGCAAGATTTTTCTTGCAATATCCAATGACAGTTCTTACAAAAGAAACAATTGTTTACAAGAATGCCAATAAACTTGGATGAATTCATTACCCAGCACCTCAGATCTTATACCAGGTGCCTATTAACCTACTTAGGGATGCAGAGGAGTTAGAAGTAGAAAATGTGAATAGATTCAGAGAGGATGGACTAAAATAAAACTGTTCTGGGAATTCATTTATGAAAGGCATTGAGAGTAACAAAAAGGTGTCAGTCAGTGTAACCTTCAGGAAAGTCTGAGCACTTTGGTTCTAAGAACTGTAACTGCTCAGAGTGATTTGTTTTCCTCCAGAAAGTAACTTCCATTGGATGTTCCTAGAGATTTCATTATAAAAAGGCAAAAATTTTTGAGAATAACTCCAAGGTCGTATTGGATGTGCACTTAAAGTATCAAGAAATGTTAGAAGACAACGTTACCAATTCTCATAAACATCCTACCACTCTATGTCAGCACTGTTCAGCAAAACTTTCTGCAATAATGGAAATGTTCTATATCTGCATTGTGCATTATGGTAGCCACTAGCCACATGTGGCTATGGAGGCCTTGAAATGTGGTTAGTGTGACTGAGGAACTAAATTTGATCTTGATTAAATTTAAATATAAATAGTCACATGTAGGTAGTAACTTCCATGTTGGACGGTGACCAACATGTTTTATGTGACCTAGAATAGTCAGGATAGGCTAGGTTACACTGCAGTAACAAATAATCTCCAAATATTAATGGATTAAAACAAAGTTTTATTTCTCTTTCTCACTATATATTCATTATACATCATCTGGGGACTCTGTTCTACATCCTTTCATTCTGGGACCATCTTGAATGCTGCTGGTCACTGTAACAGAGGGAAAAATGAAGAGAGATCTGGAGTGTGTTGCACTGGCAATCAAATAAATGCTTGATTCAGAAGTGATACATATCACTTCCACTCACAATTCACTGGCTAGCGCTAATCATACAGCCCTATTCCTCCACCAGAGAGCCAGGAAGTGTCATCCAATTATGGAGTCTGGGAGACAGAAATACTAGGTGAGTAGCGCTAGTGACTGAAAAAGTAAGCATTATTAAATAACTAATACATCTAATTGAACAAAAATAACTCATGTTTTTTAAAGTCAGGTATATGCCTATACAAAGGAATCAACAAAAACATGGGAGGAAAAAAATAGGCACAAACAGGAATGCTCCTTTGATAGAATCAAGGAAGAAACGAAGATTAGAATAATGTTTTGGTGTTTCATACATAATTTTTATTAAGCTTTTGAATAGGCAAATCCATTCATTAAAGGAGAAAAAGAAGGAAACAGAAGCATGATTTATCTTCCATTATAATTAAAGAGAATAATTTTGTCAATTTTTACTTTTTAAAAAATCCTTTAAAAAAAACCCCAAAACGAGCCTACCTGTTCTTACAACAATAGGATCTTACTATAATTCCAAGTATAGTCGCTCCACAGCTCTTCAAAAGCCCTTATTAGACATCTTTGAATTAGATGGGAACTTAGGGGTCAGCTATTCTAATTTCCAATATGGGAATCCCTCCTACAGCTTTCTATCTCTTTTGGGGCAAAAAGGAAGTCCACTACTGCTGTGGGAGCTCATTTCATTGGTGGACAGGTGAAATTTTTGGAGAACTCTTCCTGCTGTATCAAAAATACCATCTCTGAGCTTTCAATGTACGTATTTGTCCCGGCTCCACAGCCACCCAGCAGAGAGACAGCCCCTTTGCTCCATGAGAACCCTCAATTCCTTGAAGGGAACTTCTCTGCCCCTGGGTTTTCCCTTTTTGGAGTATTCCTTCTTGTGCCCTGGTCTCTGTACCTCTGTTCTCCTAGCAGCCCTCCTTGGAGCGTGCAGCCCAGACTTTGGGGACAGAGTCTGAGCATCAAATCCTAGATGCTTGAATTAAGTTCTGTGTTCTTCTCTGCAAGGCGGGGAATAATTACACCTACCTCTTACTTGTTAAGAGGATTAAACAGGATTAAATCTGTAAACTAATAGATGCACAATAAATATTTACTTCAATGTGATGTTTCTTTTAAAGTGTGATGGGTAGAGTGAAATTTAACAATAATTTAGATGTGATCTGACTAATTCCCTTCTCTGGGACACCCTCTTATTCCTTCATTTATATCAACCACAAGTATTAGCATTATCTTTTGTGGGCAGCCAGACATACTATTAATTCATATTATAGTTAAAAGTGCCAACTTCCACTAAGCCTTACTTAACTTGTTGACATTTTAAGCTTAAAGTGTAAGAAATTGAACCAGATGAAATTTGATAGGAATGTATTGGCTGTTGCTCATCAGCTTTTTTTATTTTCTGGGTTTTTTTCTTTTGGTTTGGTTTTAATAGACTTTATTTTTCAGAGCAATTTTTTTTTTTTTTTTTTTTTTTTTGCGGTACGCGGGCCTCTCACTGTTGTGGCCTCTCCCGTTGCGGAGCACAGGCTCGGGACGGGCAGGCTCAGCGGCCATGGCTCACGGGCCCAGCCACTCCGCGGCATGTGGGATCTTCCCGGACCGGGGTACGAACCTGTGTCCCCTGCATCGGCAGGCGGACTCTCAACCACTGCGCCACCAGGGGAGCCCTCAGAGCAATTTTAGGTTCACAGCAATATTCAGCAGAAGGTACAGAGAGCTCCCATACACCCCTCCCCCCCACATGCACAGCCTGCCCCATTACCAACGCCCTCCACAGAGTGCTACGTTTGTTACACTGTATGAACCCACATTGACTCATCATTATCATCCAAAGTCCGTTTTACATTAGGATTCATTCTTGGTGTTGTATACTCCATGGGTTTGGACAAATTTTTGATGAATGGTGTATATCTGTATCCACCATTATAGTATCATACATAGTTACCCTGTCCTGAAAATCCTCTGTGCACCATCTATTCAACATTCCCTCCCTCCCCTAGCAACCATGATCTTTTTACTGTCTCTATAGTTTTGCCTTTTCCAGAATGTCAAATAGTTGTAATGATGTAGTATGTGACTTTCAGATCGGCTTCTTTCACTTAGTAATATTCATTTAGGGTTCCTCCATGTCTTTTCATGGCTTGATCGTTCCATTTCTTTTTACTGTTGAATAATATTCTATTGTCTGGATGTACCACAGTCTATTTATCCACTTATCTACAAAAGGACACCTTGGTTGTTTTAAAGTTTTGGCGATTATGAATAAAGCTGCTATTAACATCTGTGTGCAGGTTTTTGTGTAGACATAACTTTTCAGCTCCTTTGGGTAAATACAAAGAAGCATGATTGCTGGATCTATGGTAAGAGTATGCTTAGTTTTGTAAGAGACTGCCAAGCGGTCTTCTAAAGTGGCTGTACCCTTTTGCACTTCCACCAACAATGAGAGTTCCTGTTGCTCCCCATCCCTGGCAGCATTTGGTGCTGTCAGTGTTCTGGAATTTGACCATTCTAATAGATGTGTAATGCTACACATTAGCTTTTAGCAAGATCTCAGGCTTTTGAATCATGATCCAATGCTAGGTGTCAGCTGCCTCTTCAAGAGTTGTGTATGCTACAGATATGATAGGTATGTGATTACTGGAAAGATCATAGACATTGGAGACTGCCAGACCTCAGGTGTGTACCTTACCTCTGCTGTCCTACCACAAAGGAGTTAGTTAACTTCTCTGAGCCTCAGTTTCCTCTTTTGTAAAATGGAAGTAATAAATGAGTAATAACAGTACTTACTTTAATGAGTTATATGAATAAACTGTGTGCCTTCTCCAGTTTTATTCAAGTGATTAATAATAAAAACATTTGACCAGAATAGAACTTAGGGCTGAAACTTGTACCACACCACTGCTGGCCTTTCTCCAGTAAGGCCACTGTTCTTTGAGCACATAGATCTGCCTCATCACCCAGCCCACACAGTTTCATCTTTCAGGTATATCTGGACAGGCTTTGTCAAATGCCTTACTAAAATCAAATACTCGGTAAGGTAGATTTCTTTGGACCATCTGTGTACATTTTTCCTCCTTCCATCTCAGACTCTGAGTGCATAGGTACTATTTTTAAATTCTCTCTTAATTAGTTCATCCTTGTTCTTCTAAAGGCTATATAGCGGTCTCTGGTTTCTAGGCTACTACATTTCCTGAGTAGATCATCCCCAGATGAAGTAATTTGAGTTTCCCCAGCTTCTTTTAGAAGGACCCATTGTAGAAAATGAAACACATGTTAGCCGAGACAGATCCCTCATTTTATTTGAGGCTTATGTGTGTGCACACAAGCATGTGTATCTCATGGTGCAACAGGACTTGAATTACAACTTTGGAACTCTTTGCTCTTATCTATCTATTCAGTATCTCTGCCATCAAGTCAGAGCTGAGATTACTCATCACTTTTGCTGTCATCACAGACAATTAGGATTCAGTAGAAGGAGACAGCCTGAAATTTAATTCTAACCAGCAGTTCAATCCAAACTCCCAAAATCTGGCTGGGATGGGGCGGTGATGTGTTTTGACAATCCAGTTAGTGAAGGAAGAAGCGGCCCCTAGGAAATCATAACAAAGAGTCTTAAGCAAGACTCCTTTCGTTGACAACTTTATCCAAGAAACCACCTTCCCTGTAGACTTTTCTAAACTTTAGACTAATCCTCTCCTTGCCACAGAAGTCCTTTTGTTGCGGGAAATTGTAAGTGACCACAGGAGTGACAGGCCTCTGCAAGCACCAGCTCTGTCTCCAAAGTCTTTCAATTGTTGTCTCCCGTCTGTCCTGTTCTCCTTCTGGCCCAAGGATCACTCTATCAAATAACGTAATGAATGAAATTATTCAGCAGTTCTCTTCTCAGATGATTTCAATCTATGTCTAATTTTTGAGCCAATCACTGTTAAATTCTAGGCAAATGACAGCAGCAGTAACCTTTCATTGCTTTTTCCTCAAGTATTATGCACTGTTGCCTTGGACATCATATTTAAAATATTCCACATCACAGGTGGTGGTATAAAACCCTTGGTCCAGTGTGGAGTTAGATTTGAAGCTTCTTAGTAAGTGGAAGCAAATTAAAACGGAAACAGCAATACAGGTAGTCCTGGACGTGAATGAAGAATAAAAAAAATCAGAATCATGAATAACAGATTGAGTAAGGAAACCTGTTAAATATTATCGCAAAGTTATTGATGGAATTATATATAAATACAGATGGATAGATAGAAAAGGTGATAACAAATTTTAACAGAGGCAGCATCTTACTCCTGGTAATCAAAATCTATCTCCAAATGTACAAATTATCGTTATACCTCACCACACCCTAACTCTTCAAAACACACCAAGCTTTGAACTAATATGTGTAAAGTGCCTGGCACATGGTATATACCCAGTAAATTTTAGTTCCATGTCTCTATTGTAGACATTAGCATACAGTTTTTCCATACCTGAAACTGACATTCTGGGGATCTTTTAAGAGTCTTAATTTTCAGGCATTGCTGCTAGTTATAAGTCCTAATATCCCAATTTACATTTTGAATCTCCTGAAAAGTGAATATTTTAACATAAATTCAATTTAGTGGAAAAGATTTACAGGCCCCAAGTGTCCATGTGATTACCACTTTTAGTCCCTGACTCCAGCACTCCCAGATTTTGCTGATCCCAAGCCGTTTATTAAACAGTTTAATTGCTCCAGCTTCTCCCTGTTGTGGTTCATCTCCTGTGGGTTTTATCTCCTTACATTAGTACCAAGGGCCCAGGGACATCGGGAGATTACTCCAGTGCACATTCTGCCTGCCCCCTCCCTTCCTCAACAGCTGGCACAGACGCCAAGTTTGTCACGCTCCTTTTAATTGATTTTCTATTGTGACCAATTTACATCTACAGGTAATGAATGATTCTTTGCGGAAACTGACTGTAGTTCAGAGAGGCAGGGTAAGCTCCCTACCTCCTGGCGGCTTTAGTAAAACAAAATAACAATAGAAATAATTGTTATGTCTTACGGGGCACCACCATCTGAGACCATTTCCATCAATGTCTTTGATAATTTTATGAAGGGCAAATCCTAAAGTACACCCTGTTCTCATAACTGGTGGGTTTAAGATGGCATAATTACACAGTAAAATTTCTGCTCTAGAAAATATTTTACTTGGGAAATACCATGTTATGATTGTATGGCCCATTGTAATTCCAATTTTATATCGTCAAAATATAAACTTCAGTATTTCATAAAATGCTCTGACGAAGAGCTATCATTCTAAACTTCCCTGATCTTTCCAAATTTCTAAATACAATGATCTTAGAAGATCCAAAAGGCAGACGTTCTTGATGCGTATATGCCTTTAACAGAGAAACTGGCAAAGAGCTGAATCCTGCCATGTGAATGACGTCGGGGCAGGGGTGGTGCAGGGAGTATGCCAGTCATTACCATCTAGGCCCCAAAAGTTCTGCTAGGAAGCACGGCAAGCTGTGGTTGCCAGATGCGTGGCCAAATCGTAGGTTAATGACTGTGGTCTGGGATATAGCCAGGGTCACTTACAGGGCTGGCTGGCTGGCTGTGTGCCTGGGTCTCACCTTGATTCCTCTATCTAGATTGCTGTCCCCTCTACCCACCATGGAAGGCCCAGGATGAGTGCTCTTGTAAGATCTAGGGATGTCTATACTATGGTGGCTTTTGGAGTTGTCCCACCTGGCTTTCTGTGCCTACCAGCAGAACTCTTTAGGATATGGTAGCTTTGGGGAAGTCCTCTACAGCGCCCCTTCCTCTTCAAGATTACCTTGGAAGGCTGGGTTGCCCTGGGCTGACGGAGGAGACTGCTGAGAGCACCTGAGTCTGTGACATTTGTGGATGGGTCCTCCCTCCCTATCAGGTCCTCATGGTTCCCAGAGCTCACCCTGGAGAGGACTCCCTGTAAGCAATGGTGCAAAAAGGTGTAGCCTAAGAAGCCTGTAGCAGTGATGACTGGACACTCGTAGGCCTCCAAAACCACCTCCTGGGTGGTGCTGGACTGAACCAGGTCTGCTCTGGCACCTGGGGGCAGGCTAGGTGGTAATTTGCAGTACTACGGTGACCAACCGTCCTGGTTTACCCGGGACTGTGTCAATTTTGGCACCGAACATCCCACATCCCGGGACACCCCTTGGTCTCGAGCAAGTGGGGACAGTTGGTCATCCTGACCTCTGATTTTGTCCTATCAGCTGACAGCGAGAACTATGTAGTTAAGGGAATTTAACATGTCAGTGGAGTCCTGTATTCCAATGTGTCAGCTCAAGGCCTTACAGTGAGTGTAAGGGTTGTCTCAGGGGTCCTATCAGTCCCCTGGCAGTGGGAGCTGATGCACACTGCCATCCTCCTTTCACAGCCTGTGAGGCCTAGGCCTCTGTGCCCAGAGTGGGAATGAAGAGCCGGGCCCAGGACAGAGGTGCTCTGAACCCATGAACCAGGTCTTCACTGGACAGTGGTTGATTTTCAATTCCATCCATAAGGAGCCACACAGTTGTAACCACTTACCTGGAAAATCTTGGTGATCTCGCCCTTTCTTTTCACCAGCATTTGCTAAACCCGGCTGGGTGGTGACCTTTCCGGTAAGAGGCCAACAGGTCACACATTTCTGGCTTTAGCCTCACGCCTGAAACTGTAAATAGAGACTCCACTGTAGGGAAGAAAAGAGAAAAGCACCAACATATTATCTCCTGGGATCTTTCATGGTGTATTTTTTTATGTCTGTTGTAATATCTGTCACCCGAAGAGACATCAAAATGTAAGCCAGACTCATACATCAATAATTTACACTGACTCATGGATAACTCACGTTACTGAATAGCTGTCAGGTGCCTCCTATTCAATTCACTTCAGTTCAATTCACTTCAATGCATATTTACCAAATGAACACTTGGGTAAAGGCACCTTGGTGCTGAAGGTGGTCCAAACAGGAGCAGAACTGGAAGCCACACACACACTAACAACAAGGGCCAAAATCAAGCCAAGGAGTCTGGACGCGAGTCCCGGTGATGACAGGCAGTGAGCATGGCGCTGGGCTACATAATGTTTTGGAAAGTTTCAAATTTCTGTTACATTAGATACATTTGGCAATCCATTTAAATAGACTCTAAGGTGCAACTTTTGTAGATTAAAAAATGTTTTTGAAATATATGTATATTACCTATGCCCTCAGACTCACAGAATGCTGACAGTTTGCATTTTTATAAATGCCTGTGTTTGTTAAACGTGTGTTGTCCCTGGGTGCTCTACTATGCTAAGCTTATGGGCCATGTCCTCTAAAAGTTAACATTTTAAGGGGCTCATCTGCAAAATGGGATTAAGAAAACTTGCGGGCAGATTGCTCTCAGCTTAGAGAAGATAATACGTGCCAAACGTCTTGAGTTGCTCTGATACACCATATATCTTTAATAACCAGTAGCCATTGTTACAAGCATTAGCACAGATACCATCCGAGAAAAACATCCGGGGCAACAGCCACATCGTCACCAAAGCACATCCACAAAACCTGCTCAGGACATCCTTCCACTTGGGCACTGCTTTTCCAAGGCTCACAAGCTGCACAAACTGGGTTGCTGTAAATACCACACAGTTTCACAAAAAAGAGAAGCTCCAGCTTTGGTGCACCGAAAGCATAAAATGCCATAATAATATTGTTTGCTGGAAGCTATTCACACCCAAAGGGAAGAAATAAACCTGCAATGCTGACTGTCTTGGCTACCTTGGGTAAGCTGTGGCCCTGACTCCTTCGGTTTGGAGTTACATATTTGCTAGACTGGAAAGGGGAGACCTCAAGTCTTGTTGATATGCATAATGTATTTTCCCAGGTACATTATAACGCGCAATTTTGTAGTCTACTTTCTTTTAGCTCGGGTCATAGTGTAAACAGTCAAACAGTTCAAACAAACCGTGCATATTAAACTTTACAGATTACTCTCAAATCGACTCAAGTCCAAACCATTCTGGGAACGTCTCTCAGGAAGAAGTGTCCTCTTACCTTGGGGACAGTGGCATGAAGATGTCCCTCAAAAGCAATAGTTCCTCAATAGCGATGAGGGAGGCGGGGGGCGGGGGGAGACGGAGAGAGAGAGGGAGAGAGCAAAAAAGAGTGAGAGAGGGAGGGAGAGAAAGAGACAAAGACAGAGAGAGGGAGAGAGGGAGAGAGAGAGAGGAAGAAAAAGAGAGACGGGGGTGGGGGTAGGAGGAGGATGTGTGTGTGTGTGTGTGTGTGTGAGAGAGAGAGAGAGAGAGAGAGAGAGAAAGAGAAAGAGAGAGAGAAACATGTGGCAGAACAGTGCTGGGAAAGCAACCAGTTAATCAAAGGGATTTCAATTTGGCCATGGACTGCCCGACTCTCCTTCCCAACTCACAGAAAAAGAAAAAGAAAACAAGAGGAAAAAAAAGAAAGAAGGAAAAAAGCAGCCGAGTGGTTCTCCTGCAGCATCTCACAAATGCAAAACCCTCCATTTGCTGACTCCTCATTAGCTTTCTGAATCTGACAGCATAATTATTGCAGCTGCTTTGCGCTTAGAATAAATAAATACAAAAGTGGGTGTTTAAAAACTTTTTGAGAAGGGAAATTCAGTCATCTAGACAGTCAGTAGGACAAGTTTATTTAAAACTTTGAGATTCTTATGTATTTAGATCATTTCGGAATGAGATAATGAGATAGTTGTCTTTCAGTCTAATTGAGTTCCTAAGCTCCTGGCTGTTGGCTGTCACCGCTTTCAAACTTTGCTTTAACTTTCCTTCCTTTAGAAATCCGATCCTGGTGTCTCCATTTACTCTTCCTGGGCTGATAACCTGCTGAAGTCTCAGTGCACTGGAGTGCAGAAAGTGACTTAATGGCATTGAGGAGCTAAATAACCTTTCACAGGAAACATGACAATCAAATCTCTTCTACTTGCCTGTAATGGCTGAAAGAGAAAGCACAAGTTGAAAAGAAAGCTTGGAAATTAAACCATCATTTCAAAATGTCTTGTAATTTTCCTTGTCACGTGGTTTTCGTGCTACTCTTGCACATCATCAATCCATCAGCTGGAGTTGCTTAGTGCATTTAATTATTCATAGTGCACACAGCCTCCGTGACTGAGCGGTAATTTTAGCTCATGTGTATGTATATAGGCTTCATATCTTCAAAGCCCAAAGGATCACACAGTACTTTAAATTGAAGTTGCTAACTAACATGGAGTGCACTTAAAACTCTGACTAGGGGCACAGCACACATGCATTTCCGATTAAAGCAGATGATCTTTCCGTTTAAAATTAATTAGTGCCTATTTATCTTTTCCTCTCCCTCCCTCCTCTCATTCTCCCAGGAGGGCATTTATGTGAACCCTTGAAATCAGTGAGTTAAAAGCTTTATAAAATAAATATTCTGTCAATCTGGGGTGCAGGAAACTAGTGTTAACCCATTGTGCAGATTGAGAAATTGAGGTTTATGAGGGCCAATAATGCATGTGATGCTGGGGGAAAAAAGAAGAAAACTCAAGTTTTTAAACTCTCAATCCAGAGCTTGAACTCCCTGTACCATTTGTCTTACTTTATTCCTTTAAACAATAAAGGCAATATAACATCAACATGAAAGAAAACTTTGAAAAAAGGAAAAAAATTACCCACAATTCCCCTCAACTAGAAGAGCATTTTTACTTTTGTACTCTACTTTCCAGTTTTGTTGATATGCATAATACGTTTTCACAGGTGCATTGTAATATGCAATTTTGTATCCTTTCTTTTAGCTTGTGTCATAAGGTAAACATTTCCATACTACCCCACACTCCTGTGAATTATCATCTTAAATGGTTACATAGTACTGTATGCTGGGTCAATATAACAATATTTATCCAATCAGTTCTCGTGTTGAATATTTAGAGTTTCTTTTATCTTTTTGAATTAGAAAAAATTATAGACAACACCACAATGAACATTTCTATGCATCTAGGGTTTGGTTTTTTTTTTTTCTTTCTTTTCTGTTCGATTGTTCCTTTGGATAATTTCCAGGAACCAAAGTATAGGGTTGAATGTTGTTAGCATTTTTATGGCTCCTTATAGGTATGGCAAAATGCTTTGCAAAGGTTGCCCCAACTTACACCACCATCTGTAGAGAATCATTTTACCACAATCTTCCCAGCACTGGGAATTAGGAGTCATTAAGTTGAGGGAAAAAAATAACTACTTTAACAGTTATTTGTATTTATTTAATCACTAGTTAGACTGCCTATTTATCCCATGTGTTGGTATGTTTTTTTCATTTCCTTTGTGTAAATTGCTATTTTGTGCCTTTACCCAATTTTCCATTGGATCCTGGTATTTTTCTTACAAAACTAAATAAGTAATAGTAAGGGAAAAACAATAACCAGCACTGATTAAGAAATCCTAAAACCCAAGGGCGACTGTGTTACAAACAAAAAAAAAAACAAAAAAAAAAACAAAAGAAAAAGAACAAACTAAGACCAGATGACATTAAGGATTAAGGAAGAGGTCAGGGGCTTGAGTCTTTATTAAACATAAAATTGAGCCCTCTTAATTGTGAGATCTTGAACATGTTACCTGGGAACATGTGACATATTTCCTGGGAAGGCTTTAAAATAAACATAGAGCACGACGAGAGAGTGGAAAGGTCGCAGGGCTGGGAGTCAAGATCTTGGTTCTAATCCTGGTTGTGTTACAGTACTAAATTTCCTTGTGATCTTTAGCAAGCAGTGATGAGAAGTGGAAGACAGTGGCTTGGGAGTCTGATTTACAGTCAAATATTGCCTCTACCACTTACTAGCTGTATGACTTTGAGCAATTAGCCTCCCTCAGCCCCAGTTTTCTAATATGTAATATGAGGATAATAACTCCAGATTTGAGAGTTAGTATCTAGATTGAATGAGAATTTATGTAAAACACATAGACGCCCAATAAACGGCAGCCGCTATTCCTCTTCTCTGGGTGTTAGGGACTCATCTATATAACGAAGACATGGAATAATGAGTCCCAAGATCCTTTTCTTGTCAAAGGGTCTCTAACTCTTTCCTGAAGCATTTATCTTTATTTGGAGATTCTTTCAGTCCATGATGCTAACAAATTTAACCAACTTAAGCAGTTGGTAGAGCTGAGGGACTTGGTTTACCCAGACTTTTCCTACCAATGTTAACTCTACGCAACATCTTAAGCCATGTCTCAACCCAACATCTTGTATTCTAATGTATTAGAGTGGGTAGAGGACAACACTGAGCACAGAAGGTAAAGAAGTGTGTTATGGAGGACACTTCCTAACTTGCTTCTTAAGTACTGATTCATGGAGGATTTAAAAGGTAGACAGACTGAGTAATATTCCACTGTATATATTACTCCACCATAAAAAGAAATGAAATTGAGCTATTTGTAATGAGGTGGATAGACCTAGAGTCTGTCATACAGAGTGAAGTAAGTCAGAAAGAGAAAGACAAATACCGTATGCTAACACATATATATGGAATCTAAGAAAAAAAAAATGTCATGAAGAACCTAGGGGTAAGACAGGAATAAAGACACAGACCTACTAGAGAATGGACTTGAGGATATGGGGAGGGGGAAGGGTAAGCTGTGACAAAGTGAGAGCGTGGCATGGACATATATACACTACCAAACGTAAGGCAGATACCTAGTGGGAAGCAGCCGCATAGCACA